CAGTCGTACTCGTATTCATACTCGCATTCATACTCATACTCATACTCGTACTCATACTCGTATCTTGGAAGCTCTTTCCTTGGAGCGAGATGACCGGACAGTCCATTAAGACACGCACGAATCCTCACGGAAATCTTAGGATTCGAAAATTATGGTTATAAGATTACTATATCTTATCTGTAGATCGAAGTAATCATTGATAACTTGCTAACAAGGTTAAAGTTTCTTAACAGTTTAAAGATTTTGCTATAAGATCAGAAATATTCTATAATCTGACTTGTTTCTGGTACTTTGTTTTGAACTATAAATCTAACACAATCAGCACTATATTTTCAATTTGTAGGTAAAAACCTTTAGGTTTCTGAAGATTTCCTTTAGTTATTCATAGATAGTTTCATAATACATCTAATATATCATATATCATAATCCTTCTTAAACTCTAATCCTTTTAAGCTCACTTAGCTTCTTGCTGTCAAGTTTTTTTGCTTTGTGGTCCACTCAAGATTTGTCAATCTGGCAAAGTGCTTATTAGCTTATTCCCAATTCTCAATTTCTGGTTAGCATTTATCCAAAAATGTCAACGGGTAATCGACTTCTGGCTAAGCAATTGAAAGACAGATAAATCTGTCGTCTGGGGAAAAGGAAAAAATTAAATAAAACCCGAAATCAAAAACTAATTTTCCGCCAACTAATTGCAATTAAGGGTAATCTTATTTTCCTGTATATATGAACTCGTTTCTCCAACCAGTAGCAACAAACGGTTGCAGGAAATTAATGTTTCTTTTATGTAATGGGGTCTTAAGACCTCGCTTCAAATGGAGAAATTTTCCCCAGAGATTTTCGTTTTAGTTTTTTTCAAATTCTGAATAACTGAATAAACTGAGCCCACGCAATGAAATGTGGAAACAAACCTAAACACACGCTGGGCGTCCATCTCTATTGGGTGGAAGAAAGGAAGGAGAAAAAACACAACGTTATTATGCCTGCCAGGGCTAATACATGCAGTTATTATTAATGCCACTGTGGAGATGGGTCCGGGGTTCCAGGTTGCAGGTTCCCAGTTCCTCCGGTCTCCGTTCTCCATACTCAGTTCCCCAGTTTGAGAAGGGGTTTACCTCGGTATGTCGGCAGTAAATAAGCCTTCATTTTTCATGGCTCTCGCCTGACCGAATTCTATGCAACAGCAGCCAGTTCTTGGCCAACAGCAGCAGCTGCGGTCTTCTTCCAAACCAAAAAAAAAAACTTTGGGGTTATGCAAGCCAAAATGTGGTAGAAAGGAGCAGGGAGGAGGAGAGAGCACTGCCACCGCATTCCTGGCCCAAAAGACACTCGGTTCAAATGTCAGGGGCCATAAATAAGCTGGCCAAAGAGCCACAATGGTCGACAAGGCTTCCGCGACACAGATGCTCCTTATGGCAATTGCAATTCAAGGCGCGAAACAATTAAACATAGTTTTCATTGCACAAAGCTGCCGACATTTCGCAAATTAATTTGTGCAAAAAAACAGCAAGTAAATAAAAAGGAGCCACCAACATTTGTCTCAAAGAAAGCGCACTAAGCAAATCCAATTTCACCGTCAGCAATGTTTATTTATCTGTCGCCGCAGCTGCATTTAACTTAACTCTTTCACCGATGGCCAATACAACACCCATGGCTGCCACACTCGTGGCCATATTTGTGGAGCAATCCAATCCACCTTCATCTCCAGCCGAGGGGATCCCCAATCCCAGTCGACTTCCAGTTAATGCAGCCGATCAACAATTTAGATACAATATCGCATATCGCATCATAATGTCGTCGTCGTCGTGGCCGTCGTCATCATCATCATCATGGCAATGGTTGTGATGGTGGCCAGCAAAATGGCGACACTGCAGCAGCAGCAGCAGCAGTAACAGTTGCAACATTTGCAGCAGCAACAGCAGCAACATCAAGCGCGGCGGCATCTTTTTTCGCACCTTGTTTGAATGCGCGCGCCTAATGGACGACAGCGACATTAGTTTGCCGGCCGGCTGTAGACGTGTCTTGGTCCAGTTTTGTGTGTTTGGCTTGTTTTGGCATCACAGATAATATATTTAATTAAAAAGAAACACGATGACTGCAAGATCTATTGGCACAGCCAGTCGGGGATACGCTATCCATAGATCTTTAGATTTAAGCTGCTGTGATAAGGTGGCAGAGACTACACAGAAGTATGCTAATATTATTGGCAAAAGGGCTGTGAAACTCAAGGATTTCCCACGCTTTGAAATACTTTAAAGAATTTATCGAATTAAAAATGGGTTAATTATTTTTTTAGATATTTACAGTACCAGAGGAATTTATTGCAAATAGACAAGATGTTGTTTATATATAAATATCAAGTCTAAAATTATCTGGAATTTTTTTGAAAGGTAAAAATAGTTTTCAAACATTTCGGAAGTCGTAATCTTGATTTATTAATGAGTTTTCTAAATATAAATGTTATATATGTATGTGATTTCACAAAGGAAGAATTTTGATCTGAGTTAAAGATCTTAATAGTTCTATTTATGTAGATTTACTTAGAGAGTAAACTAAGTCTTAAAATCTTTTATAAAATTCAAACTTCACTCAATATTCAATCCACTCAAACGCTTGGAAAGAGTATTCACAGACTCGAGGGGTAAAGACAAAAGCTAACAACGATCTGCACAAAATTGGTAGCTGTCAACGCCTTTTTAATTGAAAGCGTGTTGGGTGTTAAATACTCGTAAGTATCTCTTAGTATGATTTTTGCGCCGATCGCAGATATGACAAGCGGGACACTCAGACACTCAAACACACAGAGACTCAAACACTCAAACACTCAGACAGTCGGTCTCTCAAGTCGACTTTAAGACAGCTGAATGGACAGGCTGCCGCTTATCGGTGAACTACTTTTGAAATGGAAATGAATGAAACCAAATGAAATCAAATCAAATGAAATTGAAATAAACAGAGTCAATGAATCGTATCGAATGCGAGTGCGAATCAATGGGCGCCCCAAAACAGCCGACAAATCGATTGAAAAATCACAAAAATCACGAAAAACAAACAAAGTGGCAGCAGCAGCAACCGGGAGCAGAGAGTTAAGATTGCATTTAATTTCTTTAACCTTGCTTTCACTTTTCTCATTAACTTTTCGTTTGGCAATTAAAATTCAATTTTTGCTCGAAAAATCAACTCAGATAAATGGCTGCACATTTCTCAAGTGCGGAGTGAGGAGCGTGTGAAAAAGGCCAAGACGCCACATACAAGACGTACTGTACTCGTTACTTGGCCATAAGAAACGCTAACAAGGCTCGGCAAATTTTTAAATGCCAATTTCCGCAAATTATTAAATGAAATTGAGGATTCCGCACGGCAATCTATCTATACATCTCTGGCCAAAAAGGGGATTCCATCGGGCCTTGGGCCTTAAAAGTGGTGTGTGTGTGGGGTACACACAGACAAAATATGATTATAAATTATGATTGTCATTTTTACTGATGATTGACTAACGTTATATAACTAAAATATGTGAATGAAATCTTTAAAAGTGTGGTTTTTAAGGAAGGTGTTGGGAATTACTACATTTCTATGACCGGAATGTAAAAAAAGGAACAAATTTGGTGATAAATATCAATATTTCAGTTATATTTTATTGTATGCAATATAAAATATATATAAAATGTAATGTCTAGTGTGATATACTTGGTTTTTATTTAAATTTCACAATCAAAAGTGTAAAAGCATTAAGATTTCATCAGTGGGCAACCCTTATTTTCGCCTTCAAAGACTTGCTTTAATAAGGTTTTTTGAAGCTCCAGCTAGTGAGTAATATTATATATCAAAATTATTTCCTTTTATTTATTTTTAAGCTCTTGACTTTAAGTTTTTATTCAAGTGCATTTAGCTGCGTGTCGTGTATTTGCAATTTGACATACTTTTGTTAACCGGCGGCAGCAGCAGCAAAATCAAGCGGCAGCATCAACAATCATAATAATAATGGCCAAAGTTAATAGTGGCGCGAAAGTATGACGAATATGTAAACTGCAGCTAATCCCGCAACAAATGATTGCGATTAATCAGTGGAATTGCATTAGCTTCGACTTCCAAAAAGGAGGTAGCCCAACTGGGCGTTGCAGGCAACTGTCACTGTCTGTCTGCTGATTAAGCGAGATTGTCCAGAGGAGATATATACGCCATACCATGCGATCCACGAAGATGAGTTGTGGGTGCGTGCATTGGCAATTATGCTCCGTGGTGTGCACGGTAGTCAGCCATGGATAGGTATCCCTTTCCTGCGGCCAAAAAAAACTCATTAACGAGTCAATTAAGCCCCGGGCCAGGAAGTTGCAGCAGATGCTCCTTGTCAAGCTCCAAGTTGGCTTATCTAACAGCTCCATTTGCCCGCTGAGTGGCCACATCATCTCTCAATCTCAATCTCTCCACCTGAATCCCAATTTCCATTTCCAATCTTAGTCACTAATGCGAAAGCGGCTCGAGGAGCGAGCTTTAAGCGGATGCGCGTAATAAATTAATAAAGCCAGGCATTAAATGCAATGCATATTCAATTAACAATGTCAGTTGATATCTGCCAGATACATTCGGCATTCGGACTGGGATTCAGCTTTGCATTTCGCTCTGCCTGCCGCATTTCCTGTCAGCAAAATGCAAAATCCTAGTCCCCCCAAAGCTCATTAAATCTTTCAAGGCAACAAAGTTGCCTGAGTGAAAACCAATTTTATGGATATTGTAAATCGTTCGGCGAACCTAGGGAATATTGCGTGACATTTACAAGATACAAATGTTCGAGAGGGTATAAAGATGGATTACCTATAGATCTCAAGGGTCTCGTTTAGAATGGAGGAAAATACTTGAAGGATTTTAGGTTTTGTGTTGGTAAAGGTTTGTTTTTTAAACAAGAACGGGAGCCAAGGATGTTTAAGAGTTCTTTGTGGCTTAATTAAATTTCTTAAAACCCCAAATATAAAACCCCAAGGGTATCCCCCTTTACTCACCTCTTTGATCTCATCCTCGAGGGCACGTTGTCTGGTCAATTGCCGAAGGCGCTCCCTTCTTTGCTCTGTGAGTTGCTCCAATCTCTGGGCAGCACGATCCACTTCATTGAAAAGAAGAGTCACCTTGCGTAGTTTCCCGGCAGCATCCGGATTCAAGGATGTGGCCACAGAGGCCATGGCAGTCGGTGACGGTGGCTGAGATATGCTCATCCTTTGGCCAGAAGTTGAAGGTAAAGTAGCCGTAGCCGGAGCTGGGCAGAGGTTATGCCCCTGGCCAGCTCCTGGAGGTGCATCAACTGTCCGGCGCCCATCTTGCGGAGGCTGTGCAGCTGCGAATCCATCAGCGCACGACTAAGTGCCCGATGCTGACCGTAGAGCTGGCGGCGCGTGGGCAATCCCTGAAGATCGGCGGAGCGTATATCGCTGAGGGCCGTCACCAGCCTGCCGCCGGCCAGGGAGCACTGCCGCTGGAAGGCCTCCAGCTGGGCGAAGAACTCGCGCCACTTGGCCGTGTCGTGATAGCCTTGCCCGCAACCGGGTAGCGCCGCGAGGGCAGGTATGGAGGGCATCAAACCGGCGGCGGGGAGCTGCGATGGCGCAACACTTGTCGTGACTTGGTCCACGCTAATGAATTTAACCAAATGCGACGACGACGACGACGATGACGATGATGACGATGACGACGGCTCCTGTTTGGGGTCAGAGTCAGAGCAAAAGAGCGAACTCGATGTCATTAGTGGCCAGGTTCTGTTTGCCCAGACGGTCATGTCGGCCAGGTTAATTGGCTGGGGATCAGACTTGGTCTGGGTTTCGGTTTTGGATTCGGATTCGGACTCGGGCTGGGGCGTTAGCTCGTTGCCTGGCCTTACGATCCCGCCCTCTGACTTGCACACAGAGAAATTATATTAACTTGAGAGATAATTAGCAAAGCGAAAACCACAAATATCATTGAAATAAATTTATGTTTTATAAGGTGTTTATAGAGTTTAAGGTTTAGTTTAATTTTATGAGAAAAACCCTTTTAGTTTATTAAGGGAAACTTGATATTATTACTTGAAAAGCTCTTTAGCAAGGTATAAATATTTTCTCTGTGTGCTGAATTGTGTAATCTAAAAGGTCAGGCTTATAAACTCTTAACCCTTGGACTCACCTGGTGATCACTGTTATTGTTCTGCTGCTTCTCTTGCTGCTGCTCATTGCACAATTGCAATAGACTTGGTTCGCTGCAAATGGCCAAAATTTCACAATTGCCAATTTGCTTGGCTAAGAGTCTGAGACTTTGGCAAATTAAGTCGATTACGCATAAATGTTGAGACTTCTCGATGGCAATTAAAATGGTAAATGTCTGTGGGGCGGGTTGTTGCTGCTGCAGTTGCTCCGAGCTTTTATGGCCATTGATTGTTGCCGTCGTTCCGGGTGTTGCCGGGGTGGAACGTGGACAGGAGCTAGAGCTGCAAAAACCAATGGAAACAAGCAATGAGTGGGGGAAGTCTGAGAAGTGCACGGTCAAGTCGTATAAATAACATCAAAAAGTGTTTTGCCTCTTGTCGATCAGAGTTGAGACGATCAAGGAACTAGTTCGTAAATTTATTGAAAAATATATTCAAAAGCAAAGAAATAAGACAGGACTTCTTAGATAAGATTAAGATAATACAATTTTAATTAAAAGGAAAGAAATTACCAAACAAAATAATTATATATTCCCACAATAGTAACAATCTTAATTATATATTCCCGTTTGCCTTGAAATCAAGTCATCTCAAGTGTAATAAGAAGTTTTATTTTGTCTTTTACTTTTCTAATATATCTCTTTGGCAACTAGCTATGGCCACACACCTAATTAGAATTGTAAACTGCAAATTAAGGCTATGATTATTCAATAAATCATCATAATCGGTTTGCAGCAATTCCCACCTTGGCATTAATCGCTACCATTCCGTAGTCGATTCTTGGTCTTCCAGGTGAACTGGTTCGCATGTGGGCTGCCCATGGCTGCTCCATGCTCCATGCTCCATGCTCCATGCTTGGGCGGATTGAGGTGGTGGCTCCAAAAGAGTTGAACAGAACACACCACCGTCTCTGGGCTACGCCCAAAACGAGTTCGACTTAATTGGCAATAAGCGGCCTCTGCACTTGGCTCTCACTTGGACTTGGGCCAGATGAAGCACTTTACCTTTCGCAAAATCACGTAACTATGACAAGTTGGTAGCCACTTTTAATCAGCGTAAATAAAAATTGAAAATTGCTGCTAATGGCAGCCAAGAGCTAAGCCAAGACAAGCAAAGCCAACAAGCTAAGAGCCCGTGTCTTAACACTTTGCCCGAAGTTTGCTCAGTTTGAAATTCTTTTAAGCCATCGGAGCTCCGCTGTCTAACTGTAAACGCATGCCGTGGCCAGGTTGGTTCTCACATGGCAATTGGCAGTCGGAGGCGCAAGTCCACCCACTCCCACTCCCACTCCCCCAGCCGCCGCACTTTATGTTGCAGTTGCAAATTGCACGCAATGCTCACGGGGCTCGAGAGATCCGCGCTGATGTGGCGTGTTTGCCAAGCCGCCTGGGTTGCCAACAGCGGCTTAATGATGCCGCACAGTGCGGCTATAAAGAGCGCCTGGCATTTCAATTTCAAAAAGCAGCCTATATACACGCTCAAATGAGCCAGCCCGACAGCAGCAGCTCTTCCGTAATTTAGCCACTTGTGGGAGTGGGAATACCCTAACTAAGAAACTGTTGAAGGAACAAGATCAGTTATAATGGGGGATAAATATAGAAGGTAGCCAAGGTTTACTGAAGAGTAATTGTGGTGAAAGAGCCTCAGATTGTATTAACAATATGTTGCTATACGATCTTTGTGAGGTCTGTCATTTAGAGAAGTCTCCTGCAAAACTATTAAAAAACATGAAAGGAAAGCTAACTTCGGCAGGCCGAAGTTTATATACCCTTGCAGATAGAACTTCGATGACTAGGAATCCATAATAATACATATACCATAGTAATACCTGCTTTCATTTCATTCACCTATACATATTATATTTGCAGTTACATTCACAGATTTGCATTTTTGTCTCCACATCTAACGATCGTTTGTATGGCACCTATATGACGACTAGGTCCGATTTTCATAAAATTTTGCACAAAATTGTAGAATAATATAAAATGGCCATATCTCAAATTTCATTAAATTCTGTTAAAAACTGAAAATGTTATCGCCACCGCGATTGTCAGTCTTCCGACAACAGATACCGCCATTCTCAGTCCTCTCAAATCTCGTTCGTTCCTATGGGAGCTATATGATATATTAGTCCGATTTTGATAAAATTTTCCACAAATTGTAGAATAATATAAAATATCTTTATCTCAAATTTGAATAAATTCTGTTGAAAACTGAAAATGTTATCGCCACGGCGATTGTCAGTCTTCCGACAACAGCTACCGCCATTCTCAGTCCTCTCAAATTTCTCGATCGTTCCTATAGGAGCTACATGATATATTAGTCCGATTTTGATAAAATTTTGCACAAAATTGTAGAATAATATAAAATATCTATATCTCAAATTTCATTAAATTCTGTTGAAAACTGAAAATGTTATCGCCACGGCGATTGTCAGTCTTCCGACAACAGCTACCGCCATTCTCAGTCCTCTCAAATTTCTCGTTCGTTCCTATGGGAGCTATATGATATATTAATCCGATTTTGATACAATTTTGCACAAAATTGTAGAATAATATAAAATATCTATATCTCAAATTTCATTAAATTCTGTTGAAAACTGAAAATGTTATCGCCACGGCGATTGTCAGTCTTCCGACAACAGCTACCGCCATTCTCAGTCCTCTCAAATCTCGTTCGTTCCTATGGGAGCTATATGATATATTGTCCGATTTTGATAAAATTTTCCACAAATTTGTAGAATAATATAAAATATCTATATCTCAAATTTGAATAAATTCTGTTGAAAACTGAAAATGTTATCGCCACGGCGATTGTCAGTCTTCCGACAACAGCTACCGCCATTCTCAGTCCTCTCAAATTTCTCGATCGTTCCTATGGGAGCTACATGATATATTAGTCCGATTTTGATAAAATTTGCACAAATTGTAGAATAATATAAAATATCTATATCTCAAATTTCATTAAATTCTGTTGAAAACTGAAAATGTTATCGCCACGGCGATTGTCAGTCTTCCGACAACAGCTACCGCCATTCTCAGTCCTCTCAAATTTCTCGTTCGTTCCTATGGGAGCTATATGATATATTAATCCGATTTTGATACAATTTTGCACAAAATTGTAGAATAATATGAAATATCTATATCTCAAATTTCATTAAATTCTGTTGAAAACTGAAAATGTTATCGCCACGGCGATTGTCAGTCTTCCGACAACAGCTACCGCCATTCTCAGTCCTCTCAAATCTCGTTCGTTCCTATGGGAGCTATATGATATATTGTCCGATTTTGATAAAATTTTCCACAAATTTGTAGAATAATATAAAATATCTATATCTCAAATTTGAATAAATTCTGTTGAAAACTGAAAATGTTATCGCCACGGCGATTGTCAGTCTTCCGACAACAGCTACCGCCATTCTCAGTCCTCTCAAATTTCTCGATCGTTGCTATGGGAGCTACATGATATATTAGTCCGATTTTGATAAAATTTTCCACAAAATTGTAGAATAATATAAAATATCTATATCTCAAATTTGATTAAATTCTGTTGAAAACTGAAAATGTTATCGCCACGGCGATTGTCAGTCTTCCGACAACAGCTACCGCCATTCTTAGTCCTCTCAAATTTCTCGTTCGTTCCTATGGGAGCTATATGATATATTAGTCCGATTTTGATAAAATTTTGCACAAAATTGTAGAATAATATAAAATGGCTATCTCAATTTTCTGATCATTCCTATGGCAGCTTTATGATATAGTTGTCCGATCCGGCCCGTTCCGACATATATACGAGTGAGAATATATAGAAGCTAATAACAAAGTTTCATTCAGATAGCTTAAAAACTGAGAGACTAGTTTGCGTAGAAACGGACAGACGGACAGACGGACAGGCGGACATGGCTAGATCGACCCGGCTGTTGTTCCTGATCAAGGATACCATATATGTATACTTTATATGGTCGGAGGTGCCTCCTTCACTGCGTTGCAAGCTTCTGACTGAAATTATAATAAGATGCATAACTCTAAAGATTTTTAATGTTTTGAAGGGCTTCTAATAGAGCTCTACTTGGGATACCTAGTGTTTTACTTTCATATTTCTATAACATTATTTCTCTTACAAAAAACATTATCTTTCATTAATTAAGTTGAGAATAAATAACCTTAAACCACTTTTTCACAATCTAGATTCTCCAAAACAATCTTAAGACCGCTAACACTTTCTACCTTAGCATAAAAGCAAGAAACCTTTGCTAATTTAATTTTCAAATGCATTTCGGTTTTGGGAACAGCCGCGCATGCTCTCTCCGATTTTGTTGATTTTGTAGGGCAAGACGCATTAAAATATGAGCACAATCCTAGGCCAGGTCAAGCGTGTGTAACCCGAGCTTTTCTTTTATATCCGTATTATGCGCAAGCATGCATATTTATACTGGAGCTCCGAGTCGTAGTTCGTAGTCCCCGGTACCTTTCCAAGAAGTGCAGTTTCCCGGCCAAACTCTGTCCATAAAAACAAATTTAATTGCAAGCTGTCACACACACATATACACACACCAGATGGAGGAGGGTGTTGTGGATTGGCATCGGTGCTGTGCTTTTGGGGAGTCACACTCGGAGTAGGAGTCGTTGTCGAGGTCAGACCTCTGGCCCAGACAAATGATGTAAGCTCCGGATAAGCCAAGTGGCCATGTTGACACTGCATCGCAGTGGTGAAAACTGTGCGGAGACCAAACATCCAAAGCCACATCCACATCCATCCATATCCCCATCTTCAGCCAACATCTAATATTTGCTGTCCATCTGGCTGACATTCGGAATTGGACAGGCAGCTAATGAATACCTTACACATGTCGGCAAACAAACGCAAATAATGTCAAGTCTCGGAGCTCCAACTCGTCATGAGTCAGGTCAGAAACGATCCGAAGACTGGATGCGATGGGATGGGATGGGATGGGATGGTATGGGATGAGTGGAGTTTGCCTGTTGATGATGATGATGAGGCGGCAGCAGATGTGCCAGTTTTTATTCGGTTCGCTTTTCAGCGCAACAGCCACTGAAACCACACTTGGAAAAGCTAGAGAATGAATAATAGAGATCTTACGTGATCGGGAATATATATATTGCTTTACTTAAAATTAATTTTGGAACTCTAGGGCAGATCAAGGTGGATTCTATATACATAAATGTATTGATTGATCAGTACTACTTAGGATGTTCAGCTTTTGAAGAATGTTAGAAAAGCTTTAGAGGTTCTGGGTTCGCTTTCGTATATAGTTTTCAGTTTCATACAACTTCATAATCTCGCAGTTAACAATTAAGAATGGTAATTTGAATTTTTTCAAGTGCAGAAATCTGTGCAAATGTTTGTCAAAGAGTTTTCTACACGATTTGGCCGCGTTTTACCAATTGGCATTGAAGCAATTAACATCAACATGCAGCTGAAGATAGAGATGAAGTTGGAGTTGAAGCTGGAGATGGAAATGGAGTTGGAGATGGAGTTAGAGATAGAGTTAAAGATGGAGCTGGAGTTGTGGTTTTAAAAACTAGAACGGGAATCGCACTGGCAACTCTAAGTGGCCGCCCGATACGAGTGTTCTCTTATGTCGATTTAGATTTAACAGATTTCTGATATTTCCAGGAATCGTGTGGCTGCAGCAAAACGAACATTATAGAAAAATAAAAGTTCACATCATAAATTTTTAAAGTGTCACGAATCTGTCTGAATAAAAAAAAAAAAGAATCATTCATTTTGCCTGCAGTTATCGCCAGCTACCTTTCTCACTCTAACCATTTCATCGCCTCTCGCTTGCTCCTCAAAGGGAAGCCGCACACAGGCCTCCCCCTCGAAAGACGTGCTAGGCGGAAAATCCACAAAATGCTAAAAAAAAAAGAAATACTAAAAAAAAAGACTGCCTGAGAGGAATTCTAATTTACACTAGTCAGCAGGGAAGGAACACTGCACTACATGGGGATTTCCCCCCTGGGCTTTCCCATGACCTTTGCCGTGATCCCGTAAATTGAAGCTCATTAAGACATTTTTAACGCTCTTTTGCTTAAGTACTGCAAAGGCATATTAATAGTTTTGCTTTTAAAAAGACATATATATTAAACTTACTTACATGGCATTAAGAATATAATAAGCTTAATATATATTAAATATAAGAAATATAAAAAGAAAGAAAATTATAGAAGCAGGTCATCACAAGGCAAGGCTTTCAATCTTTTTTATTATTAAGGGTTTACTCATTTTTTGATGTGTGATTTAAATTATTTTAGAATACTCAAACTAAGTTAGAGACCAAACTATCTATTAATTAATTCTTTCTTATATATTTAATATCCAACTATAAGTTGTCCTGTTAAAGTACTTTAGTCATAGTTCAATGTGCTTAAGTTAATTTTTCAATCTAATCGAAAATCCTATTCAAAGCCACTGGCACTTAATCTTTTTATGTTTCTTTTAGATTTTATAAACTCAAAATTTGCCCTGATTATGTATTTACTCAATAGAAGGGCCTCCATTCAATCGAAGATCTAGGGCAGATAGCCAACCCTGTTGGACAGTGTTTATCGACTTTTAGACCAGACTTTTGTTCTATTTTCTAAGGCTAAGTTCTCTTTGGCTCACAATGCAAGTGCTGTTCGATGTTGTTGTTATTATTGTTGTTACTGTTGCATGTTTCCTTTTAGCCAAAGTGGCAAATTGACTGACATGCATTCGGCCAAGAACGGAACGGGGTAGGCGGGAGTGGGAGTGGGAACCGTCTTAAAGGCTTAAATAAAGCTCCGCATCGTTCCCAGCGCCATTTGGCTGACTTGGCAGAGTTGGCTGGCGCATTTGCATATCAGCTCGTAAATATGGATGGGCCAACGACGACTGGTAGGTACTTGGGAGGGAGGGGACTGTGAGTCTATGAACTTATTGCCAGACAAATTGAAATGCCTGATTCGGATGCAGATGCTGATTCTGGGACTTGTACTCGAACTCGTACTGGTTCTGGTTTTTTTGATTCTGACTCTGGTCGTGGTCTGTGGCTCTGTCGATTGCCCACAGCTGCTCGTTGAGCCCATTCCCATGCGTTACTTTGACACTAAACCGATAGAGCTGATTCTAATTCTGATTCAGATATGGAAATTGAGATGTGCAGAGAGGGAAAATATGGGATTTTTCTTTGGAATATTCTTATATGTATTAAATATAATCTTTTATATAGAAAGAGATTCAAGATTTGACAGCTTTTAAAGTTACTTAAACACAGGTTCATTAGCTATTTAAAGTCTTCGTTGTATTACTAGTTATTCCCAGTGTTGATCCACTGATCCCCCGACTCACCTGCGCTCTGGAATTGTGCTGTAGTAGAGGAGCAGCGTAGCCAGCTCATAGCAATTGAGGCCGGCGGACGCCACACAGGCCGCATCCACGCTCACAAGTGGGTCGCCTCGTAGGGTGCGTGTGCCTGGAAAGGGGATATAAAAAGAGGTGGGGAGTGATCGTTAAGGACGATGCTTTATATATAAAAAAAAGAGATCTCTTCGAGGTGTGGGAAATCACACTCCAACACTCCGATCTCAATTGCTGCGCCCTGGGTGGGCCCCCAACCACTTCGATAATGTGCGAAAAAGCTTGTGTATATTAATTGAAAAGCGCCAACTTTATGATTTTCCCAACAACTTTTCGCCAGAAAAAAACGAAATGGCCAGGGAAATGGCAATGCATTTGCCGGAGGCAAATTGCCCGATGGGGCGTTACAAAGCGATTCCAATTTATAAGCAAATTTGGATTTTGGACCAGTGAAAGTCTAGAATTAGACGAGCGGAACTGGGGGGAGGGTGAGCAGCAGCGAAAAATGGAAAGTTTGTCACCTAGGTACCGGTACATGGACTAAGGCTCACCTGGTAGGTAGACGCCGCTGGTCAGCAGTTTCTCGGGCAGCTCAGCAATCGAGCTGGGAGGCAGTAGCTCCGTTTCGCAAGTATCTGCAGAGAGAGAAAAATCATTAAGAATTTTATAATATATTTCCAAATAGAACTATAAACCTTATAATATGTTCTTGAATGTTTTTGTAAAATAAAATAAGATCAAACATCTATCCTATTCGCTTTTAACCATCATATCCTTGACTGTTTGTCCGGCTCAAAGGACCAAAAAGGATAACCAAACTCAGATAACCTCAGATATCTCTAAATTATGTAGTTCGCTCTGAAAATTGAACACTGTTTCTTCGCGTGTAGATGGCAACCAGAAAAGCTTCAAGAAAACTCACACACATTGAAAAAGCCAAGCCATATGGAGGGTAAAAATATGGGTTAATTGTATTTTAAACGCTCGACGGAACCTTGAAAACTGGTCCAGGATCTGCACAGTTTGCATAATAATGTCACTTGATTAATATCGAAGCTGTTGGGGCTCGCTCACAGCCCACATCTAGGAAGGGGGCGTGGCTGGAGCAAAAGCCTTGGCTCTGCTAACCGAAAGCCATGCCGAAAACGAGTTCGTCATAAATTTAAATTTTCCGCCTTCCCCACGGTGACTTTCGCATGCGACAAATACGTTCCAATGATAAATGCGGCACATTTCAGCGTCTCGTGGAAATTCTGCAACCAATGTGGAATGAACTCCGGCCACCTGTTGCCATGCTGTTGCTGCTGCTGCCGCCTTTCCGATGGCGGAGAGCCAAAAAAAAAAAAAAACGAATGCGACCCGCCGCATTGTAATTCAATAGCCCGGACCACAATAGCCCCCGCACTTGTTGGACTGATTTATGTCCGCTTGCAAATTGCACCCACACCCAGCCCAGATCCGCAGTTGAACGCATTCCAGAGAACAGTGGTGGGAAATCCCCGGAAAAGAGTGGAGTTTATGCTGAAATATATCTACAGATATACTTATGGTACTTTTACCACGTTTAAACTGCTTTTCCAGACATCTTTTAAATGGATTTTCAAAGATATTTCATTAAAAAGAAACCTTTGAGTCAAGAAACCTACTCTTTAAACTCTGATAGTGTGATAATCAGTTACTACTTCAGTATTGTGTTTCAAATCTTATACATAACCTATTTAGGGTTTCCTAATTTCTGCCAGAGTTTGAATTTAAAGTAAATAACCCTTGTAGTTAAAATTTTAATACTTCAACTCTAAGTTAAATTTACAAACAATGATATAAACCCACTGTTTCCACAGTTTGCCACAGTGGAGCTCCGCATAGCATTGCTTTGGTTTCTCATTTAATTTTCATATTTTAGGCTTTTGACAAATTAAAAGGCATTTGCACCGTTGTCGCTGCCACAGAGACAACGATATTTTGCGGCTAACCGCGTCTCGCCGGATGCCGTGGGATGTCGATGTTAATGGCTAATGGCTAAAACCACGGCTGCCGGCAGACCCACCTCCTCCTCTACTCCTCTGTGAACGATCGGGCATTTTAAAAGGGGCATTTTCAGCCGCCAATAAAGAACGGCTTTTAAGATTTTCAAGAAATAATGGATATACACCGATAGAAGTGGCAATTCTTGAGACTGAGAATGGATTACGTTTTAATGGATAGCGTTGTCAGTTAACTGAGTTTCTGGCAAATCATTTATTTTTGTAAATGAAAAAATAATAAGCACAAAGGCAATAAAGACAATGTTGGGTGAGGTTCCAAACGATATTAAAACCGGAAATATTTCTGTGACAATTAAGATAGCATCTAAAGTGAACCACATTTTCAAAAATTTTTGGCATAATTTTTTTCTACTCGAATTTCACTCTTGCATACTTTCGCTAGAATTCAGGGCATAAAACTCTAGTTTCAGCTATAATCTCAAGCGATCAATCTGCGGCTATTAATTGATTTAAATGTCGGACAGCATTTATGAACAGAAAATATATCAAATTAGCGCTAAAATCGAATGCTATCAAGGCGTACCTATTAGGCCCCACAAAACCACCAACTCGATAGACTTCAAAGCGCCGTTCGAAACGATCGCAAATTTAACTCCACTTTGGGTTGGCTCGACTTTTGGCTGCGGGGCGTTTAATTGAATAGTTCGGGCTAAGAGATTTGCATACGGGCCATGGAGCTAAAACAAATAAGACAAATCACGCCCAGAAATGGCGATAAGCGCGAGCCACGAACTGGTCGCTCTGTTGCAGGTACACTGAGAGGAATTTTGAAGGGGATTTAGAAGGCAGAAAATGTAAAGAGAGATTCAAGAAGTTTAAGATTAGTTTTGGACTTGCTAGTCTGATTTCTCATGTTTATAAATGGTTAGAATGAACCTTCTATTCCCATTTTAAAAGAGCTTTCTATAGGCTTTAACTAGTCGAAATGGGTTACGATTTCTGAAGGATATTACTTTCCAAATCTAAAAATTTCTCACTGCATGAAAAAGCTTACTCTACATATTCCGTTCCGATATCAAAAGTAATTGCTTATAGCCACCGGCCAACGGTGCGCATGCGTAATATCGCACTACGTATACGTAACGTAGACTCACCCAAACTGTGATGCTTCTCCGCTCCGCCGCAATCGCTTGGCTCCTCATCGCTATCAATGTGCGGAAATGAGTTGCCCAGGCAAAAGAGAGGTAGAGCCGGCGATGTGGACACTCCGCTGGCCTCGTTGCCATTACTGTTCCGCTTCTTGGCCTCATTGCTGCTGCACTGCAGCTCCTCGCCGGCACTGGATCCAGAGCTGGAGCTGCTGCTCCTGTCGCTCACATTGCTGTTGCCCGACGAGGTGGAGTTCATGCTATCCTGCCGATTGGTCAGACGCCGGAGCATGTACCGGCTGTTGAAGAGTTTGTTTTTGGTTATCAAATCGCTGCGTCGCAACGCACACTTGGGTGATCCCACCAAACTTTGGCTGTGACTGCAACCATTATTATTGTTATTGTTATTATTGTTGTTGTTGTTGGCCTCATCCAGTAGATCCTCTCCTGGATGCATTTGTTGCAGTTGCAACTCATTGAGCGACACACGCTCAATGCTACGCTCCACGCTCACCAGCAGATTCTGCAGCAATTGCGGCAATTCACCGCTGTCTGCCGCCATTAGGGCTGCCGCTGCCGTGGTCATTTCCAGTTGGAGCACGCTCAGTGGTAGCTGGCGGGGATTTGTGTGATCGATGCAGTGACTCTGGACGCTCTCCTCCTTGCGGGATGAGCGCCAAACAGCATAGAGCCGGGCAATGGAGTCTGCTTCGCTATCCGCAGATGCTTCTGTAAATAACCAAGAAAATTATAGGTTAATGGAAGAATTTAATAAGTATAAATATAAATATCTGAATAAAATCATTACATCAGCGTATGAGATTCGTTTAACCCGACTAAGTAATTGGCATCAAGATAAGTCTGGTCGCATTCTGGTTTCATTTAAATTGATCAAGCGGCCGTAAGTAATCGATTATATTGATTGCCGGTTGTGTGCCCGACTCTGGCTAATCATAGTGATAGGTCCACCGAAGGGCTAGACCCAATACCCTTCCCTGATCCCCGTCGACCCACTTACCCAATTTGATGCAGAGATACAGCTCCGCCGGGCGAAGTGCGTGCGCAATCTCAGCGTCGCTCAGCTGCAGCACCAGAGCTCCATTGGACGTTGCCAGCGGCCAGCCGGGATGCCATAACCAGGACTGCAAGGAGACCAGGATGGAAACAAGGGGAGAGAGTGGGTTAGAGATTGCAGATTGAGTAACGAAATCATTTGCAAATTTTTATTATTACTACGATTACATGTTTGGCCGGCCAGAAATTGTGCAGGCCGCAACACCCGCAAGTGTTAAGCTGCGGAAAGGAAACCGAAAACCAAAACCGAAAACCGATAAAAGAAACCAAAGCCTGGCCTGGCGAAAAAAAAACCGAGGCCCAAAGACTGACTTGGAAAGCGCATTAAAAATGGGCCCAGACTGTCCGACGTCAGACGTCGTCAGAGCTGGGGATACTTGGATATTTGGTTATATTTTGGAGGCCTGAATGTTCGAGGTCTCCCTCCCATGTTTGTCCGACAGTTGGCCATATCGGAGATGGCGAGTGTGGCAACAATTTGGCCGCCTCAGTACTACAAAACTACACAGGTAGAAAAAAGAGATCTAAGGAGAGTAAGTCTTAGCCCTGTTAATAAATAAATAAGCTGTAATAAAGATTCCTAAACTGAACTGCAATTATAGTTAGTCCCTTCAATAATCTAGTTCTTTATAGATTAACAAATATGCACCTCTTGAATATTAATATTAAAAAACAATACAAATTCTCTTTGTGCATTCAAAATGTCTATGCGCAAAAATATTCAAAAAACTGGCACCGCCTGGCAATGGCGATGGAAAATTATAGATAAATCATGCAAGTCAAACTTTTTTGGCAATTTTTGCTAATTTTTGGTTATTACCCTCAGCGTTTTTTTTTTTTTTTCTGCCAAGTTGAAAAACTCAAAAAGCTGGAAAGCCCAACGCAGATTTCACCCCTACGGGAATGTGAAATCGAATTTGAAACTGAACACAGAGGAGAGAGAGCCCGATTCCGATCCTTGGTTGGTTTGCCATTAATTGTTGCAATGCGAAAATGTTTCTTCGCATTTGTTGCTAATTTGCCAGTTGCTCAGATTTTATTTTGTGCATTTTTTGTTTTTTGTTTTGGATTGAGCTTTGGCTTTGTTTTCGATTGGAAAATGGACAGTGGGGGAACAGAAAAAAAAGGTGCGCGCTGCTTGATTTATAGCGCCTTTTGACTCAACACAAAAACTTGGTTATTTTATTGGTAACAAAGCGATTGCTGTTTTTATTTTTTTTGTTTTGTTTTTTTCGCTGCACATGCCACCCAGAAGAGAGAGAGACAGAGAGGGAGAGGGAGAAAGAGACGCGAACATAAATCAATTGTTGTTTGTCGCATCGAGAGAGGGGTCGAAGGGGGTCGCCGATCGAAATCCATTCAAACAGAAAATGATCAATTTTGTCATTTGATCAAAGCCGCAGCAACGATCGCAACGCATCGTTTACAATCGATTGAACAAAATGATCATCGCCGATCAACCGAACCACACAACGACAACCACTTCCTCCCGCTCGATAGTCTTGTCTTGCTTCGGGGGTCTTTTTTTTGGATCTGCACAGTAAAAATTAAATATATACTATCAAAAATATAATATTTCATTATAAAGTAATATTAATTTTTGAAGTCATCTTAGGTCAACTTTTTGTGGTAGAAAATAAATCCCATAGACTTGACTCGCTAGAAAGGAAGATTCTTTCCCGGAAAAGGAATATAATTTTAAGTCTAATACTAGACTTGAAGTTAATTAAAGTCTTAGGTAATTTGTATGCAATTTTTTAAACAATTTTTGTCATTTTTGTACTGATTTCTATACACTTTGTTCTACATCTTATTTACCAAAATATCATTCTAAGGTGTTGTTCATGTATTGCTTGAAATAATTTGTGCTTGATTGAGATGCTGAACTTCAATGGGACATTTTACGAATTCGACCTATTTCAACAAATAGATTTTAATAAAATTGAAACTTTTACGAATATTAAATTCCAAAAGACGATCTCTTTATATTTTCTGTGTGTTTCATGGGAGGTATCGTTGTATAAGCCCCTGTCGCCACATGCTAAAATAATGATTTTTCGTAACATTTTCTGCTTGATTGCTCCCAGATCCCAGCTCCAAGCACCACCACCAAAGTTCCATGTTCCATGTTCTCGGTGCCGGTGCCGTCTGCATCTCTGATCCGTTCGGAGCCTATCCGATCCGATCCGATCCGTAAGAGGGGGTTAAGTTCTAAATCATTGGAATCGTCGCTTCGTCGGCGTTTCAGTTTCGTCGTCATTGACCCAAATGTGCGCATCGATCGGACGCCGCGCTCTTGTCATTGTCATCGTTGTTGTGTTTATAATGTGGTTGTTGTTAATTTTCTTGTTATTTTATTGTAATATTTTTTAAAGCCTTGTTTGTATTTTATTTTTTACTTTTGTAGCTGTCGCCTACGCTGAAGTAATAACCCTCATGAAACACAGGGTTTTGATTTTCTGTTCAAGGTTATAGTTTTGTATTTAAGTAAAGTTAAGGTAATTTATAAATTTGTACTGCGTGAACGGCAAAGAATTGTCTAGTAGAAGAGGTAAATAAATAGTTTACCTTAAAAATAACTTATTTAGTATCTCATTTTTATATTTAAAGCTTGTTTGAGCTTTATTTACAGAAAGATTTAAGGAGAAATTGAAATAAAAAATGTAAACTTATGCAAGTTTAATATAACATTGTTTTTTAAAATACTCCTTGTGGTTTTGGTTTGTTTTTAATTTAAAAACGTTTTCACAGACCTTAAACTTTCATAACAAAAATATCTTCGCTAGAATGAAGATACTGTTAAAACAAAAATATATTTCATTAACATTCGAAATTTCCAAATAGCAACAGATTTCTCAGAACTATACAGGGAAACCGAAAGGGTATAATAATTTCACCATAACAACAGATACAAAAGTATCTTTTTGTTCTTGAGATATTTTCAATTTGTTTTTGGGGCGACAAATTTCCGTTCCATTGGCGGCTTTCTGGGTTCAGCTTTTGGCTTTCGGCATTTGAGTGCCTGCCCATAAATCTGCGGCGAGGATTTGTCTGAATCCTGGCCGGGATCAGCGCATATATCATTCCATCATTGTGTGTATATATGTGTATTTTTTTGTTTCATTCCCACGCCTTTGATGTTGAAAACTAAATTACCGACTGGCAGCGGCAAAAACAAAAAACATAACGAAACGAAACGAAAACCCATCAACGGATCCGACGGTGGTATATATGAGTAATCAAGCCGACATGGCCGGCATTAGCATATATGCAGATATATACACATATCTCTTGTGAGTGTGGCCAAAAAGTAAAATGTATGAATGGCCGTGTCCCGGCGTGTGGCGCCCAGCCTGTTGCCAATTATTTAAAATGCGGGTGCAGTCGTACACGGATTCGGATTCGGATTTGGACTGGGAATGGAGGTGGACTGGGATCCGGGACAGAACCAAAGCGGACCACCGTCGGAGCCAAATGAAATTACGCATGCAGGGCGTTGCACAAATAAAAAATAAAAGAAAATACAACAAGCGACACAACATCACCTCACTCATCGGCACATGCACTTGGCTTGTTTTCTTAACAAATTGGTAAGGAAACCATGAACGCTGGCTACAAGTTACCAATAAAACCATGGGGGGTTACTATATAGTACTTAAAAAAGAAAAACAACCTTATTTGCAGCAAATTCCTTAGATTTATGATCTCATTTAACAAGTTTATATGAAAAGGTACAACAATTTTAAATATTTATTATGAGAAAAGCATTTGGGAGTCTCTTCAGAGTGTTTACTGTACCAGAGGCTGCTGGTTATTGGGTATTGCCAACTTTTCTATAGGTGTTTTTTGTCTACCAATATTTTTCCTAATTTCTCAGCTCGACCAATAATTAATTTGTTGGGAAAAAAGGGCCACACCTGGTCAAAAGAGCCGCCAGCGTTTGATAATTATCATGTGTAAGCGGAATCGGGTTTTATATATTTTGTTTCTTTATTTATTTATTTTTATTTATTGTTTATTTTTTGGGTGGATGAGAGAAACCGTTAGATTTGCCAAATTGTCTTCGATGGCCAACAATTGATATTTTTGGTGTGTTTTTGTTATTTATTTTTAATTTGTCTTGCAAAATTAATGTTGTGGGTTGAGCAAAGTGCCGGGATTCCATCAATTGATTAAAATAGCTTTGTCTGCAGGAACATTACAGTTGGATTATATAAGACGCCTGAGGAATTTGATATTTGAGTAGCGATAAATATAAATTTTATGGAATGTGGATATAAACAATAAGCAAGTGAATAAATGTGGACTATAAATCAAGCTCTAAAACTGTTAAAACTGTAATGCGAGTAACTATTAGTCATAAATGAAAACAGGTAAACAATTTATGGTCTGAAAAGCTGTTAATATTTGCAAATTAATAATGAATTTATAGCACAATTTAGACATGATAAATACTAAGCAAATTACAAGTGTTATTTGCTGGCTAATTATTTTGTAAAGCTTATATCTCAAGTCTTACTAGAATATAAAAAGATACCATAGTAAATTCAGAATAAGCTTTATATCTTCAATAATCAGTAAAGTTGCTTCTTCAAAGATTTTAGTTTTTCTGCTCACATTCAGAGTTATAAAATTTTCCGATTTATCTTTTGTTTGCTTAAATTTTTGTAGCAATTTCCTGCTTTTTTTTGCTGCTCCATTTGATTTCCTATTCCACATGTTTCCTGTATCAATTACCAGTGCAAATATTCTGGTTAATTTTCTATTATTAGAAGCTTTATTTTGCACTCCCCTGTAGGCATTATTTGCCCAATGTTTTGTGCACACATATCTTTGAACTTTTATATATATATATTTATTTATTTGCCATCAACGTCACATTTCCGCTTGATCTGTTGCGGATTGGCCATCAGCGGAACGTCATTGGCACCACCAACATTTCACATTCACATATATTCACAAAAGTCAAAGTCCACAATGCACCACCGCAGGGGGAATCCAAGAGCACGTCCATGTCCGTGCCCATGCAGATGCCACATTTGATTCGGATCACTCCGGCCACACCTAC